AATCATTCCTCCGCCTCGATACCAACCAATTCCCTGCCTTCTTCAACCATCTCACCATTCTTACAATTTATGGTCATCACAATCCCCGAATAATCAGCTCGTAGGACTGTTTCTGTCTTCATACTTTCGATCACAACTACAGCTTGCCCCTTCTCGATTCGGTCTCCAACTTTAACCCGCAGTTCTACAATAAGACTTGGCATGGGTGCTTTCATTGTTGCTTTATTGGCTAGTATATCACCTCTGAGAGAAAGTAGCCAGTCTGAAGAAGGTATGACGAGTGTTGTTTTGTGACCATCATTGAAAACATGGAGACGCTCCATGGTATTGGCAGTGTGTGATGCTGGAGTGGCTGGGTGTGGGGGTTGAGAAACAACAGTTGTGTGGAGGTAGTCTTTGTCAAGAACAACAGCAAGTGTGTTCTGGTCCTTCAAGTGTGCAGGAACAGAAGAAAATACAACTGGTCCCTGCAGCATCTGTACAGTGACATCATATACCCCTGCACGCTGCTGGACAACATCTACAGACATTTCGTTCTCCAAATCTTCTGTTTGAATCTTGATGGTACGGCAGTATACATCGCCGCCGAAGCGGCGGGATGTCAGAGATGTCCATGGGTTAAGAACATTATTGGATGGACTGGATTTATGCTGATCGCGTATGACAACAAATAATGCTGCTTGAGCAATAATCTTTGCACTTGGTGCTTGGACAGGTGGAAATAATTCATCAAAATGTTTCTAGTCAAAACATCAGTGAATGTTCTTGCCCAGAGAAATGTAACAAACAGACTTACTGGAATAAAACCGGTTTCCAGTTTTTCGGCGATGAAATCTCGATTCCCTGCTAATGTTCGTAGGAACTCTACATTAGTTGATACCCCAACGACGTGGTATTCATCTAACGCCTTTCGCAACATCCGCAGAGCTTCTGTCCGATTTCTGCCATGTACAACTACTTTGGCAATCATGGGATCATAAAACACTCCTATCAATGAATTTTGCAAGAAGCCTTGTTCAATACGCAACGAAGGCGTCATTTGCAGGGAAGAATCCAGAAAACCAGAAGACGTCGTCCGAGTCATTGTTTGAATTGGGTGGGTTGGCGCAAAAACGTGCGTAGGTTTCGGTGTTGACAAGTATAACAATCTGCCTGAGTCTGGGAGGAAGTTATTCCTGGGGTTCTCAGCATATATCCGAGCTTCGAACGCATGTCCAACCATAGGTATTGATTCTTGTGATATGGGCAATGGATTGCCAGCTGCAACCTGCAAAACTAAATATTAAGTTGTGCAATGCTTTCACTTGCTCTGACTGACTTCAAGTTGCCATTCTACGAGGTCTAATCCGGTAATCATTTCCGTAACAGGATGCTCTACTTGAAGCCGTGTGTTCCTGCACATAACATGGATTAATCATCTATTGTGTTTATGCAGCCAGGATATGACCCACATTTCCATAAAATAGAATTTCTGGGTATCGTTGTCAAAAATAAATTCAACAGTGCCTGCGCCGACATAATTTACAGCCTTAGCCGCGGCTACGGCTTTCGCTCCAAGATCCTCTCGAAGCTCTTGGGAAAGTCCTGGGGCAGGTGCCTTGACAGAGGAAGTCAAAGAAGTGCTAGTCAAGTAAAGCTGGCCACCCGTACCTCTTCTATAATCTTCTGATTACGTCGTTGCACAGAACAATCGCGTTCCCAGAGGCTGACTACTCCTCCTAACGTGTCTGCAAAAACTTGTACTTCCACGTGCCTAGGAGTTTCGATATACTTCTCCACGAGAACAGTGTCATTTCCAAATGCTTTCAGAGATTCTCGCTTCGCAGAATCTAAAGCCTCTTGGAAAGTTTCGGCAGTGGGTGTTGTAACAGTCCGCATACCCTTGCCTCCCCCTCCATGAATTGCTTTGATGAGGACAGGAAACCCTGAAAAAAGGAGTCACTATGAGCGTAGATGATATATACTGCTGGAAATACCTATTTCTTGAGCTCTTTCAAAAAGGAAATCTGGGTCTTGATTATCGCCGTGGTAGCCTGGAACACATGGTACTCCAGCATCTGTGGTAAAATGTCAGACCGATATTCAAATATGTAGAATCATAAGATGAAACTTACCAATCATGATATTCTTGGACTCGCTAAAACAGTGTCACAAAATAGTTTCTTCAGAACGTCAGTGCAAGGAACATACCTTTTAGATCCCATGCTAACAATCGCGCTTGCAGGAGGTCCAACGAATACGATTCCTTGTTGGTCCAGTCGTTTCGCAAATAACGAATTTTCACTCAGGAAACCATATCTGTTAAATGTATGAGCTTGAGACTCCGATATATACATATTTTAAATCTGACCCTGGGTGAACAGCCTATGTAATCGTGATTGAACGAACTCCAATCAAAAGTTGAAACAAGACACGGGAAGTACAGGAACATACCTGCGCGCCGCTGCGATGACAAACTTCGATGATCTTATCCATGTTCAACTAGTGGCGTACGATTTAGGAATTCATACCATATGTACATGCAAGAGAATGATTTGACAACTGACATAGCTCTCGGAGGACGCAGGGGGCCCAATGCAATATGCTTCGTCGGCCTTTTCCCACTGGTTAGATTTGGCTTACACGAATTGGAAGGAGTCGACCTACTATTTGAACATGGAGCGAGTTAGCGTCCGCTTCACTATATACCGCTACTGTTTTGATTCCAAGCTTCTGCGCTGTACGAATGACGCGACATGCGATTTCCCCTCTATAAAGAGCATGAGCATTATAACACGATATGCCAGAATAACCCTACCTGTTCGCAATGAGAATCTTGTCAAAATGAGGATGACGTTCAGAGTGCAATGGTTCTAGGCAGTTAACAAAACATCATTATCCGAGTCGTGAGTGTGGTATTCAGGGGCTAACGTACGACTCTGCACACTCTCGGAGGCATATCCACGGGCAGGCGTTCTGGTACTCCTGAAATGTGATATTTGAACGGTTGTCTGGAGCAAAGCATTACTGGATTTTTCTGTTGTCCTGGGAGCTAGTGATAACGCGCGAGATACAACCCGACGCGCGGCTGAAGCCGCGGTGGTGCGAGTAAATACACTGGACAAGTGCTTGGAAGCAACGGAGCGGTTGGAAGGGATCATGGCAGCTGCAGGTTGAAGACGGGAAGGATAATAGATGTCTGTTGAGTCTACGGCTCGAGTAGATTCAATAGCCGACGCGTTCAAACGCTGAACGGGCGGAGCTTGGGGGTGGCTCTGTTACCCCGCAAAACAGTAACGTGCGTCATGCACAGAATGTAATTAGTATTTATAGGGGCTTTTCCCGATTCCAGGCTTTGTTACACAAACTACTCAATACTGGTAAAATACCTCCTCCCAGGATCAATTTAAAAGTTAGGCAGAAACCTTTACGACCACTTTTTCACCACTAATTTTGTTGTTTCTTAACAGATCGAGTCCTGTCCCAACTCGCTCTTTGAAGCTGCCCTGGCTCAGCAGGCGCACATGAGCAGGTTTGATTTGTCCAGCTTCAAGGAGAGCTGGAAGGATTTGAGGCATCAATTTATCGCGCAATGTTGGGTCCTTTTAAAAGAGTGGTCAGGATAAGATATAATGATACTAATGAAGATATACAGACTTGCTGGTAGAAAAAGGTCCTGACGCCAATGATTTCAGTCCCTTCAGGGAATGGTGTCTTGTCCCTGCGCACCTCCCAGTACATTTCCTTGTCTATTGTATTGGTAACAGACACGCCTTCTTTGATAGGAAGAAGGATGGCCAGCTTTCCCAGAGGACTCATGACTTTTCGTAGAATATTCAATGTCGCTTCGGATGTGACACAGTCCATTGCTAGCAATATTTTCCCATCCCCACATGCCGCAGCGCCGATGTCCTCTACAAGACTGGGACTCCTGTAATCAAAAGTGTCTGTCGCACCCAACGAACGCAAGTAACTGTGATGCTTCTCGGAAGCAGTGGCAATAATTTTTTGGTAGCCGGCCAGGTGCAAGAGTTGGACAGCATATACACCTGCTGTAGAGCCGGCACCATATACCAGAATTGGAGTTAACGCTAAAGGTGGGGAAGCAGTAGGAGGGAATGATGGAATCGGAAGGCCAAGTTGATTGAAGACGGTGTAAAATGCGGTCACGAAGTTATCTGGGATTGTGGCTGCCTCTGCCAAAGGCAATGAATCTGGGATCTGTCACGCTCGAAATTAGTTATGTGTGCTTTATATACTAGAATGGGTGGAAGGGTCACCTTTCCAACTACATTTCTCGCCAAAGTTACATATTCTTGCATCGCCTTGTTTCGAGAATCTCCAAAAGCGAATGCAGTCACCTAATGAAAGTTAAGCAAACCAGCGCTTGATTATCCCGATGGAATAGAACTCGCCCTGTCGCCGACTTTCAAGTCGTTAATGCCAGCTCCAGGTTCCAGCACTATGCCAGCTGCACTAAAACCGAGTGTCATAGGGAATTCCTGGACGTAGAATCCGCGATCCACCACGTATGTGTCGAATGGAATCATGGCGGCATATTCTACCTTTATGAGGACCTCTTCTTCGCCTGGCGTAGGCGTAGAAACTTGGATGGCATCGTATTCGCCTTTGGAAGTTGCAGCAATAGCCGTATGGGTGGGCATGATAGAGATAGAGATCCCAGAGGAAGCAAAAGAAAAAGACGATAAACAGTCTTCCACTGGGACCAGAACGGATATTTATATCCAGCAGCCTGACGCAGAAAAAGCCCTTTGGATGACGACATGGTTCGTCAAGCTTTGTAATTCATCACGTAGAAGCACCAAGCCCTCAGGCGGTTTGAATAAAGCGAAGAGATCGTTGCTCAGTAAGCACATCAGGAAGGAAGACAGTGCGGAGGTCGAAGCCGGAACACAAACAAGGCAAAACCTGATCTCGGATGAATAACAAAAAAGAATCTACGTAGAATCTAGATTGACGGTACTGTACTGATGTGTACACAAGAAGATAACGCAAAAATCTGAACCCCACCCGGATTGAACGGATGACCTTGAGGAATCACTCATGCGTAGCTGGAATCTCACGCTCTACCACTGAGCTAGGGGTCCTTGCTACAATTGCAGCACACTACAATATAGAGTAAGTAGTCTATCCAACTGACAAGCTGCATAAGGCAATTACTCCTAGACACCGAATGTCCTGCACTTACAGCTCTCAGCTTTCGAATTAGTGATGATTACTCAACTATCAGATATCTAGCCAAGAAAAGGTATGTAGTGGTATGTATGTAAGATATTACTTTACAAATCTGTCCATGGAGAATCGCAATCGGAGAGAATTGTAGGATACATGTAATGAATGAACGTGATAGTTAAAGATGCTTGCAGTCGGTGAAAAGGGACTGGAGAAAGTATATCCAATGGAAATAGCAATCGATAGGGCAGAATGCCGGGAACGGTGCATATGAGGGGAAGGGAGATATTATCGTTTGATGGTTGTAGCGGTGCTCAGGGAGCAATAAATTAAATCAGAAGTAAAGGGAGGCCCATGCAAACCTACATTATGATACAATCTTTATCTTTTGCAGTTTTCTGGTTACCATCGTCTGAATCGCGATGGAGGACAGCACCCGGCCCGCCAGGTTGATGCTGAGGTTGGCTCTGCGACCCACGCAGACGTTGAGCCGCACGTTTATCACCCAGGTCTGCTGCGCGTTTGTAATATGCGATGGCTCTGGTTAGAATAACAAAAAATGAGTAATAATTCCGAGATGTCACAAATAACCCGTCTCCAAAACAGACAGCACCACGAACGATAAGGGAAGTAGACTCACTCGGGCATGTTAGGCGTTGTACCAATACCGACCTCCAGGAAGTACCCGACCGCGTACATAGCTTTGGATAATCCAGCATCTGCTGCCTTTTGTGCCCATAAAAATGCTTCAGTATCGGATTGAGGAAGAACCCCTGGAGAGCCGACAAGGTACCAAGCTGTCAGAGCGAAGCAGGCATCACGGTGGTTTTGTTGCGCAGCAATATTCTAACAAACAATTCATGATTGAAAATCACAGAATTTTATATGAAACTCACATAATAGTGTATAGACAAGGCTGGGTCCTGAGGGCATCCCATTTTGCCGTATTCATAACATTCACCTAATCGATATGCGCTGGGTGCATAACCTAGCTCAGCGGCTTGCGCGAGAAGCTCTATCGAGTATTCATAGTCCACAAAAAGGACGTTGTCAATTCCGCGCTCGTGAAGAAGAGCGAGCTCATGTAAAGCATGAGGAAATTCGGCAGTGGCGTTCTCCGCGCTTCGTTTCAACCATTTCACGCCCTCCTTCGGGCTTTTGGACAGGCCAAGCTCGCCGTTCAGTTCGGCTATCCCAAGTCTATACATCGCACCTGGGTGCAACGCTGCCGCCGCTTTCCGGAAGAACTGTAGTGCTTTGGCGGACTCGCGTCGACAACCCCAGCCGTTCTCGCAGCAAACACCAGCTCTGTACGCAGCATCAGGGTGGTTGTGTTTTGTGGCAAGGACAAACAGGGGATAAGCACGGTCAAAGTCTTGTTTGTTCTTGACAGTTCCAATGCCATTAGCGTAGCAGTCAGCCAAAAAATATTGACTTTGCGGATGTCCTCTGTCGGCAAGACGTTTGAGCAGAGCAATAGCTTCCCGAATAAGATCTTCCCTCTTTTCAATCGCCTTTTCGACCTCCATTACATTTCCGGGGGTTTGCACGGGAATGGGCATAGACTTGGAAGCATCAATCATGAACACAGCGAATTCGAATTGGAGGTCGGGATCTTGTGTCTTTTTGGCATTTGCGCGATAGAGTTCGAGGGTGCGCTCATGAGAAAGAAGAGAGGCTTGATTTCCTGGGCGAAGATGCGAATGGTCCAGAATGGGACCTGGGGGAGGAGAAGGAGATCGAATGGACTGCGTGGCCACGGAGCCGTTGCGAAAGTCGCCTACAGCTGGATTGTAAGGCGCGTTTGGGTGAAGGCCGCCATTTTGATCTCCGTTGAAGAAATCGTCGGTGTCATCCTCCTGTTCTGGAGAATGGTCTTCATAATATTCTGACTCTGGTTCGAACCGATTAGCAGACGGATTTGGAAGATCTTTCATTGAGCGAGAGTTGGAGAGGGATTGTCGACTGGAATCTGGCGGGAACGGGTCGAATTCTCGGGAAGCAGAAGGGCGGGGACCCTGGTTTGTCCACGGCTGCTGAGGAGGGGAGCCCTGGAGTTGGGGGGGATACATGGCAGCCATGAAGGTTGAGATGATGGTGGCGGAGAGCAAGCCCGGGCGGATTATCAAGTATATTTATTTCGGCTTTGGGTGGCCTTCATCCAGTCTGGGTGTGATTTTTAATGCGAGCTATTATTTAATTGCAGTCTGTTAGGCTATTTATTATCCGTTTATGATGAAGATTCCTTACGACGGCAGAGGTGACGCCAACAGTGGGGAAAGCTGGGTGCAACCATAGCATCTATGTACGTAATGGGCAGTGTCTTGGTTGCCCGTTTACCACGCCCGTCCCGCGCTTCAGCTCGCACTCTACAGCCGCCCCCGTCCTGCCGGCGCTTTTTGTTGACCCACTCCACGCGCCATGGAGGTCTCTCTTCGTTCGCGCCCATCTCAGGCCCCCCGCAAGAACCAGCAGCGCTCACCAGCCAAACTAGCAAAGCCAGGCGCCGGCGTTACTCCCCGCGACAGAGGCAAGAATCGCATCGATGACAAAATCAAGAAGCGTATGTCCACGCGCTATGCGGACATATCTAGTCCCACCCAGCTGTCGGGCGTGCCGCCAATGCCCTCCTTTGTGGGTCTGATACCAGCTGGAGAAAGGGCTGCAATTGCTGGTCGAGAAGGAGAGGAAGATTTAAGAGACAGAACTAGTGCAAGAGACGATGCGAAGGCCGCAACTGACGACAGAAAGCTGTTGAGCGCCGACGACTTCGATCCTGCTGCTTGTGAGTTCAATGTTACACACAGTCAATCATCTGTATTCAGTTTCCTGTTCAGATCTCAAGCTCAAACTTGCAAATTCTACTGAGGCCGAACTAAAATTGTTGCAGTCCTCTCTGCGCAATGCCATTGATGATACTTCCTCAGAGCTTCAGCGAAGTGTGTTCAAGAAGTGTGTAGCCTTGAAACCATGACGAAATGTCTATTAATACTCACCTTCCTGCAGCTACGCCGAATTCGTTCTCATCTCTAAAGAAATATCCGTTCTAGAAAATGAGATGTTGGAACTCAAAGACCTCCTGTCAGACTACAAATCCATGCCTTCTACCTTGCACATACCTGATCCGACCTCAACATCCTCTTCTTTAATGTCCACCTACAAACGCTCCTCCGTGGCCGATTTACGCGTTCTATACTTCAATCAAATGCAAGCATTGCACGCATCTATAGAAGGAGCAACCAAATTTGTTCCAACCACTCCGGGACGCCATGTGGTGGGAGAGGTTGAGAACGTATTCAGTCTCAATGCCGCAACATATAGAATTGTAGGCAAAGTCAAATTTGTAGTATTGGATGACGCAGTTCTGGTAGCGAAACGACGGAGGCGCAATGCTAATGGCGACGCCAGTGGTTCTACGGTAAATGAAGGTAAACTTGTTGCCGAAAAATGCTGGCCGTTAAGTGAGATGCTGGTCCTCGATACCAAGGATTCCCCCAGTAAGTCTCTGTTATGTGCGCATACAAGCACACTTCTGATTAATTGCTTCCTTCAAGGCATGACAAACGTATTTAAAATCCGTCATGGAAAAGAAACTCATGTATACAGGACTGAGTCCCCGGCAGACAAGAAAGGCCTCCTTGCGCAATTTCGGCAGGTGGCCGAGGAACTTTCCCAAAAACGCAGAAAAGAGCGAGAAGGGGAGCACGAACGACGGAAGAGTATGTGGCAAGGGACCGGGGGTATAAGTATACCAGGGGTAAGTCCAATTTCGTGTCCGACAATATGTTCTAATATACATCACGAGTAGCGTAACTCCCCTATACCTCCTATGCCAGAATGGATGGCTGAGTTGGCGCGTAAGGGCGGGGATATTCCAGGAGTGGCCGTCGATGCAAAGGAGAAGGCAGAAAGAGACACGCGTTGGGTGGGCGAGTGGTCTGATGATCTTACTGTCGCGATCGCTCTCAAAGAGTGGAGCAAAGCCGTAGATCTGGTAGAGAAAGGTGAATAGTCTATGGTTCTCTTCTTAATTCACGTTCTGAAAATGAATCTCCCATCCAGGGCAAGCAAAGGTCGCAGTGATGCCGCCCCTTGCTGCTAAGCTGCCCCATCTAACAAGTCAACTGATAACATCCCTTTTGGCGTCGCTTGCACTTCCATCCGTTCGAAAGTCCACAGTTGTCACGAACATTGGTCTTCTGAATCGACTGAAGGCCGGCGCGGCCGCGCGCAGTACCTTTTTAGAGATGCGCGCTCAAGTTATTCACTCGCTAACACGGAAAATACGCTTTGAAGGCCATATCGGAACTTTCATTGGCGAACTATCAGTCGTCTATTTCACCGCAATCAAGCATAGCGCTGATTGGTACTTGGCCAGCTTCAAGGAAAATGAAGTAGCAAGCTGTATGTCTTGATCCTCTTGTGTGTTACTTTCCTCCTTCTGATTGACCTGACAGCCTTTATCACATGGACTAAGGAACGGATAGAAGGCTACGCAGAGATATTTAGGAAGCAAGTCTATTCGAAGGATGTTGATCGAAGTGTTGTCAACGAGGCTATTGCCATCACCCAACAGCAGAGCAAGAAGGCCGGTGCAAATCAGCATTCTCAACTCGCTGGTGCTGATGATATTTCCGTAACTTTAGCTTCTCCAAGAGTATGGCCTCGACTTCCGATATCTGTTGGATGATATTCTACTAGAACACCCCAAGGAGCAGTCTAAGTTTTCATCTACCTTCTCCTTCCGCGAGCATCGATTATCCAAAGCTGGACCTTCGTCGACATCAGATTTAGCGAAGCAAATAGAGCAAAGTTCTATGTCCCTGCCACAAGCGCCTCCAATACCAACCATATTGCCTGCACCTCCTCCAATCGCGCCTCGCCGAACATTACCTACTCCTCAAGTGTCGCAAAA